TTGTTTGAGATGCATAAAAGCCGGTCTTTCTGACTTCGTTAAGTTTTGCTTCGCCTTCCTACGTTATCCTGTCGCTAATCCAAAGTGTGCTTAGGACTTATCATCTAAGTAACGCACCCAAATTTTGGATTTGATCTTCGGTAGGATTGCGTTTTCGACTCTTTTCAAACCTATAACACACAAAAGCAGTTGTATACAAACACTGTTCAAGAGGGCCAGGACTCATTGCAGTACTTACACCCTAAGGAAAACTGAAGAAAAATATCTCATGGACGTCTTCCAAAAGAACGTATATCCACGAAAGCTTCATCGAAAGACATCTCCCCCCAAGCCGTCAACCTACCAGATCAAAGGCTCCAAGGAAGGCACAAAAATGTCGCCCTACTACATATAAAAGACAGCATCTGAAAAATCACTGCAGCACTCTTCAAAACTTATAGAATTGATGTTGCACACAAACCAACAAAATCACCTCACGCAGCTCTGTGTCAACAAACATACTAAACAACGAAAGAAGATAAAGCCAACATCATCTACAAAATAAATTGTAACCACTGAGAAAAACACTACATTGGCAATGAACATAAATTAGCCGTCAAAAGACATGACATCCAATCCCTCATATCTTTTTTACTTATTTTTTATTTTCGATAACAGCTTGGTTCCACACTGTATTTTGATGCAAGTATGGAATTTCCAGCATGTGATATTGGTAGCCGAAATTTTGCAGGCCGACCATAAATATCAGGTGTGCGTCGGCGGGGATCAAACCTTGGATCACGTGCATGGTCGGCGAGAGTCCTGACCACTGTACCACCACGGCACTGCATCCAGACGACCACAGACATCAATTCGATTGGGAAAACGTTAAAATATTAGAAAAAAGAAACGCCAAGAAAGAGAGAATTTTTAGAAGTCTAATATTCCGTGGAATCGTCAATCAACAGACACATCGAGACAGATAAAATATACCAACCGATAAAAAAGACACCTCACACACAAAGGCTCAAAATTCAAGTCAAGGAAACAATCAGTTCCAATAGAAGTAGACTAGAGGGTGTGAAAACACATAAAAAACAACCAGAGTTACGTTCAAGGTCACCCACCAGGAGACATGATTAACAAACTCGTGGAGAAATCTAGAAAGCTCACTAAAACAAATTTAAGTACACGCCGAAGTGAAGATGTTGCTTAGTAGGGCGATGAAAGTTTTGCAAATTAACTATTCAGCTCGGAGAACACAACCAAATCAAGAAATTATCATCCATTGTCCTGTCGATTGAGTTTAGTGCTACTTGTACGGTATATCTAGGCATTCTACAGAGAAGGAAACGATTCTTATTGAAAAGCAGGTAGTAACCTTCACAGCAGTTATACAGGCAGGTTTATAAAATCGTCTAGAGGAATTTGATACGCTTTTCATTCTGACGTTTTATTTTCACAATATGGGAAAACAAAACTCTCACAGAAAATAAACTTCAGTTGAGATGAACTATTTAAGTAATACTTACTGCGTTTTTTTAGTCGAATTCAACATCTCTCTTGCAAACATTCTTATAGAGACAGTAAAAATTAGAGAACTTCTCAAGTTTTCTTTTGTGGTAACTCGAATAGTTGCAATTTTCACGACGAAATTACCTTCACTTGAAAAACGGCAACAGAAAAGAATAGAGATCACAATCAAATGACCTTGAACCCACCAATCAAATGATTCAGCATTACAAATCGATGCTTTTCATAATCTTCGTTGCAACGTTCACCCTAACCTTAACCATAAACCTACCTTAGTCCTATCCTAAATTAGGATGAAACTTATGAAAAGCATCGATTTGTAGTGCTGAGCTATCTGATTGGTGGGTTCAAGGTCACTTGACTGTGATGTCTATCTTTTAAAAGTTGCTTCCGCCTGACTCAGGACTCTTTATTATTCATAGCTTTATTGGCCAACATTTGAAAATTAGTCTGGTGCTCACCACAGGATGAATTTCCTTGAATCTTTAGGAAGAAGCCATGACACGTATATTTCATCATGTTGGGCGTGATGACATATACTTGACGACGACACCGCCTACCACTCGCTCTGTACCTCCAGACATGATAGAAGCCAAAATTGATGGGCAGGATACTGCATTCCATCCCAATGTCTGAATGGTAAACAGGCTGGCCTCATTACCTGAAGGTGGTGAGTGGGATGGTTGATGAGTGCTTACTGCTGTATGGTCCCGAATCGGGACGAAACAGGTGTTCAGTACCCTCTAGTTTTCAATATTTCCCTTCAAATAAAGTTGGTTCATGCCCCCATGGTTGTTGTCTTGTTTATGGAATCTGATGGTGAACAATATAAAAAACAGAGATTACAATGATTTTGATGTGGCTTTTTTCTTTGAGGTGCATGGTTAATTTATGAAGCTTTCATTGCCCCAACATCAGGCAACATTTTCCTTCAGCACATACTTCAGTTTGAATTGAAGCCAGCTTTTAGAATTCTCCACGGGTTTATTAGTCAACTCTCCCAGTGGGTGACCTTGAACGTCGTGATTGGTTGTTTCTGTGTGTTTCCACACCTTCTAGTTTACTTGCATTGGAACTGATTGTTTCCTTGACTTGAAGTTCATCCCTTTGTGTATGGGATTTCCTTCTTATCGGTTGGTAAATTTTGTCTGTCTCGATGTGTCTGTTGATTGACGATTCACTGGAATATCAGATAGGCTTCTAAAATTCTCTAGATTTCTTGGTATTTCCTCTGTCTAATATTTGAACATTGTCTCAGAGATTACAGTATTATGATGGCTCGATACATGTCAGCATGAGCGACAAAATTTCGATAATTAGTTTGGTAAATAAGCCGTAAATATCACAGCACCCTAAGGTTATTTTGATGGATGATGACCAACAGCGGATTCCTGGATGTGATTTTCGTTTTATTTTTTGAACTCATACCTGCATCTGTAGCGAATGATAGTCTCCCCATTGACAATCGAACCAATGATTTGAAACAATTAAGCGTTTACCACTCGGTCACTGGACCATGACAGTTTCCTCTAGTGCATGATAAATTTTCAAAATGACATCATGGTGATCTTTGCACATCACTGAGGTGTCCGTTCTGCTAAGAGCTGATATGTTAAGAGTGCGACTGAGCACTTCACCTCAACAAAGTCGATCAACGCGAAATGAAAATTAGCCTAAAGACAAGTAATTTATTTGTAAAAAATTATATTTGTAAAATCTCAGCGATATTGAAATGAGTAATTCCAACGTTTCGTTCGTTCGGCAATCTAGTCCGAACCATTCTGTCACATCTTGACGACAGTTCATTTGAATTACAAGTAATTTATTATTTATTGTATTTTAATGTATTCCTCTACATTACTAGTGGAACATAGGACTTCAAGCTAAAAATCTGCAGTTTCAGGAGCAGTGCCTAGAGGGAACTGGCAGGAAGCCCAGTGTGACCTAGATTTCGTGCTCGTTGGGACTTGTCACTAAAGCATATTTCCAATCTTGAAGGAATTTATACCTCTTCTGACGTTCGAACTTGTGTCACCTACTCACTTTTGCAGTGACAAAGACGTTACCGTTGAGCTATTCGATATCTCGACAACAACGATTCTGAGTGCATCGTCTCATTGAAAACCACCTGGTGGTATGGTGGCCACACTACAAACTTAACTGATAGAATTCAGTCTACACCAACCAAAGGACTAGATACTTTGACCGGATACTAGTAATTAGTGTGATGTGTCTATCAGTCAGGTAGGCAATGTGGCCACCATTCTAGGTAGCTCGCCAATACGATGCACATTGATCTGATGATATTAGATACTTTGAGGCGATCGGCAGGAAGCCAAGCCTGACCTCGGTTTCATGCTAGTTGGCACTCACCAGTCAGTCAGCAAGGCGTATCTGCAACTGAGGAAGGAGGAACTCATGTCCCTTCTGAGATTAGTTACAATCCTACAGGAGGTCAATGTTGAGCCTGAACAACTCAATAGCAACGTCTCTGACTGTAACTGCAGCAATAGGTAGCTGACATGGGTTCGAATCTCACAGAAGACATGAATCCTTAAAATTAGTTATATTATTATATAATACGCCTGCTTGCTGACTCACTGGTGTGTGCCAACAAACAAGAAACCTCTCCTTCGTCTTCTTCGGTAAATGTACGTAATTTGATTGACTGGCGCTTAAAAACATTTCAGAATCCATTCTGCAAGGGAAGGACAAAACCCAAGAATAGCTGTCTATCTTTTGCATTATGTTTTATTTTTTCTCACGATAACTATAAACTTTCGAGTCAGCAAGTTGTAAGCACTTTAAATACCCGCCAGAGTATTAAACACAATTCAAGGTCATATTTTATCAAATTTAAACAAACTGAACAGGAAAAAATCTCTGTGAAATATCGGTGGGGATTTTTTCTACGGCAGCTCAAATTCAACCAGGTCGTCAGTTGTGGCTGCCTATCAATTATTATCATCAACCATTTATTAAAAACAGACACAAGTCATCATACCATATTAAATTACAACCCACAGTAGAAAACAAGTGAGCAGTATGAAAAGAATCTTCACAAATCAATATCTGCTTCTACCAAATGATCATGTGATCTAATCGCTTGTCTGTCGATTAGCCAAAAAAGTAAAAACATAGGTGAAAAAAAACTTATGATTATCGGATCACTGCACAAAATAGTTGAGAGAGAGAGAGGATAGCTTGTTAATCCGACAATTTATGTGCATAAGTACAGTACTACATGGTACACACAGGCACACACACACACACATACACAGATGCACATTCAGCTACACATTTGAATTCCCCTGCAGTAAACAGTATTTTACTCTGGATTTTTCTTGACGACATCTATAACAATGTAAACCTTTTCTGCTAACGTCAATCTTAATGAAGTATGCTAAGCTTTAAAGTAGTATCACTAGCGCATGCATCAGTGTAATTATTGATTTTCACGATATATATATATATATATATATATATATATATATATATATATATATATATAAGCATTAATTAGGCTAAACAATTGCTTCTGTATACCTTCGATTGTTTCACACGCCAACCAACAATTATTCTCTTCCTGGCTACACTCTAGAATCTTCTTCGACTGTCTCAAAACTTCCAATTACCAAAAATAGTTTCTTCTTTTGTTTTTTTTGTAAATGCCACTATTTAAATTAGTTGTTGAAAGAACACTAGAAAATCATAAATTACAAGATGTTTATCGATGGGCTGTTAAAAGCGATCCTGAAGATGTAACGTATACTGAACTGATTCGTAGAATAGAAGCAGTTATTGAGAAACCCTGTGAAAGGGATGGTCCAGTGAATATTGATGATTATACAGTAACTTGGTTTGGTAAGTTAATTTAATTTGATTAATTGATTAATTGATTAATTAAATGAATAAATTATGAAATTGTTAAAGATTAATTTTTAAAAAATATTTAGAAGGATAGAGACTATTAGGCTTAAAAGAGATGAATGTCAGTTGTATGCGAGTCAGTCATTCAATAGACAATTAAAAAGGTGAGATTTTCAATCCTCTGTGAAATTCCTGAATCGTGTAGTGTTGTATTTGCGTAACAGATTTCGAACAATCTGATCACACAAGAACTTGTCATAGGAATATGTATATATGAAATTAACAAAGAGGTAAGAGGTGAGAAAATAGAGTTAGGTCAACTTAAAAGGACATATTCAAGTTCAAAATAACAATGAAGATCATCAATAAACCAAATAGCAGAGGTAATAGTACATCTACAATGGTATCAAAACAAAATTTACCAAGGAAGGTTTAATGTGATGACGAATTGTTTTTGAACGCATAAAGGAGGCTTGAACTTCTTAAATGACAGCTAGGCCTTGCACAAACTTTAGGATACGCCCTACTACAAACATGTTTTAAAGATAGGTTTAAAAGATCTGTTAACGTCAATTCTATGCCCTGTCTCTTCTATAATATGTTTCGCAATAGAAGAGCTAAGTCTCCTGTTCTCACCATTAATAGGTTCTGAAGATTCCATTTGTTTGTGTAGCCATTTAGGAATATATGCTCTGAAGTCAGCCCTTACTTGCAGAGATCGATGAGTCCGTGTGTGATCAGATTGTTTGAAATGTGTTGTGCGCAAATACATTACACGATTCAGACAAATTACGTCCTATTGCTTTATCTAAATTCATAAAGGGAACTAATTGTTTTGAATTTCTATATTCCTCGTGATGCGAATGAAATATTTAAATTTTCACGGCTTGAAGTTTCCATAGCCGTGGTATTCACTAATGGTCACGTTTTGAGCACAGTTTATTACTGCTCATAATCATATCAAGGTACTCACTCACACAACTTCCTTACTTCATTTGTGTACATGAATAAAAATTCATTAGATATTTGAATAAAGTCAATATAACATATGCGTGAAACAGAAAACCTTGCAATGACTGTGAGTCAGGTCAACTACACAGGTCAAACTAGTAGATCAGGAGTAGTGAGATTATCAGAGCATAAGAATTTAGTGGCTAAGGTTAGAATGATTGACCCTGCGAAGACAGATGAGTCATTTAGAAAAAAACTCAGCAATCGCACTGTATGCATTAACACACAACCACACTCAATAGGGTAGGTAGAAAAAGAGAGAGAGATTGACTACTGAATCCTAGTTCATGGAGTTTACATCTAACATATGCAACAGAAATGACTCAATGCAAATACCAGAGATATGCATAGAAGATATTATTACCACCAGTCAGTCACACTAGAGGAGGATAATAAATAATCTTAAAATGAATCAAATTCACATTATAACATTCTAAAAGGTTATTTTTACTATAAAAAAATGGAAGGGCATCATTTCCCTGCTCACTTCTGACAAAATATTAATTTGAAGCATCCTGAAACAATGCTCTGTATGGAAGAGTTCTCCAAGAACAAGCCCTCTGGATTTATGGGAACAAATCATGCAGGAAATCAGCCAAAACCCTACACACCATTATCGAACGGGGCGCGGAACAGTGGTCAAACATCTGTCTTAATTTTATCAATTTTCACAAGATCTAAGACAGCCTCGACCATATGGCAACAATATGGCAGCTACTTCAGCCTCAGACATAACATAAATCTTATCCTTCAACTAATTGTTTGATGGCTCTGAATGACGAGTAATTCACGATTGTAGGCTCGTTGAGATGATTGAAGCGAAGACAGGAGCAAGATAACGCCGTTGGCTATCACCAATGATTTTACTAACAGCTGTGGATTCGATCGGAAAACTGACCGTACGCTGTGTGTGTAAAGACATGCACACGTTAGACTGGCAGTAGGACTCTAGGAGACCTGGGTTACAGGCATGATCTACATCGCGTGTCCCACAAACCCAAAGACTTACAAACAAAGCCGACAAGCTAGCAGAAGAGAAAGCCAACGAAAGCAGGAATTCATTGAGTCGGACATAAAGAAGACAGAAGGAATGAAGATACCCAACGGTGAACATCAATCCCCACGAATTGGAGAAATCTGAAAAAGGGTTATCTTTTCCACTTACCTGTCTGAACAGGGTCATTTCAACTACGTGTGTAACCAGGGTAATGACATCAGAGTCAGATACTTTAGATCAGCAAAACATGATTAACAGGCCTCCATCATGGCATTTAGCGCGATTAACACTGCCTAAATTCTGTTTAAGACAAATGTTTAGTAAATCACTGCTTCTACATGGCTAAGAAGCCTTGGAAAGCACGTCACCAACGACAGAATTTCATCAACAGCTGCCTTCACTGTCTCGAAATTGAAGATTTGATGGCCGGTTGATTAGAGAATTAGGTGGCAAGAATCTTCAGTTGAACAAAGATGTAGAAGAAGATGGATTGGTTGGGTATATGCTAAGAAGACTGGTGAGTGACATCACACGTCATACAGGCCATCGAGTGAAACTGGGGAATTGGAAGACGGTGACATAGAGAAGATCAAGTGAAATGGAAATGTAAGCTATTGTGAAGATATGAAGCCAGTTGAAAATAACAGTGGAGAACCCAATTGAATGAAGAAGTAATACTAATTCCCTGTGTTATACTTGGAACTCAAGAAATGAACAATGTTAATAATAATAATAATATATTCGTGGCTATTATTCGTCGAGTTACAGCATAACTAGTTTTGATCAGTGAATTTAGTATAATTAACTATACTAATGTAGTGAGCTATCTCAAGTAACACGCATACTTCTCTTGAACGAATTATTTATATTAAATCCGTACAACGTATAGTAGCTGAACTTATTTAATAGCTATGTGCATTGATTTTGTCTGTCGATGGTTTCTGGAAAGTTCAAATAACGCATGCCTTCCATACTTTGGTTGGACACTATCTAGCAACTAGTGTAATGTGTCTAGCCCTTTCTTCGGTGCAGACTGAATTCTATCAGTCACTATCCCACTAGGTGACTTATCATCACTATGCAGTGCACTGTGAACATAAGGCGACCTCAAGCTAGAGGCTTGAAGTTTCGGTAGCAGTGGTGATTACTTTTACAGGATAAGGATGCTAGCCAGCCCCATTTCCAACCTTCCCGCTTTATCAGTCTTATTTCTGGCTTACCAAGGTAAAGAAGTATGTCGAGTGGCCGAGTTGACGAGAATTCTACCTCTGTACCATCGACGTTGATATTAGATGGTTGGAGGCAATTTTCAGGAAGCCCCATTCAACCCAGCTTTCATGCCTGTGAGCAGTCTCCATTCAGTCAACAAAGTAGACCTATCTGGAATCCTAAAGGAACTCATATCTCTTTTGAAATAAGAACCTCCATCACACCTACCCAGTGCTGCAGTCAGAGAGGGATATTACCACTGAACTATTCGGGCTCCCGATTGATGGGATACTTTGACTGGACACTAGTGTTAGTATCCAGTGCAGTCAGTCCTACAGGAGGTCAATCGCGAGGCCAATTAGCTCATTACTGGATGACACAGGTTCAAATCTCAAGAGGGATGTGAGTCCCTTCAACACTTTTGTAGACATGCCTTTCTCTCTGCTGAGTGGGAACATGTGCATGACCTAGATCACAACTGGCTTTCTTTAATCTGTTATAAACTTGAGTTTATTTGTCTGTTTGCTAATAATAACTCGATTTTAGTAATGTATAACAAATTCATGTTGTTGAATTGAATTTTTGATTTTCCCGTCGATTGATTGGACCGAAGTGCTCGGTCTCAGGTTGACATGTCGGCTTCTTGTGCAGATGCTTCGACGATGTCTTGGCATTTGATTTGTACACAATTGGTGGATGGTGGCTAGCAGTGGAATCCAGGATGCGCATTTCGTCCTATTTGGGACTCGTCATCTGGATGTACCTGCATTTCTCAGTGAGTGATGATGTTCCCACCGAGGCTCGAACCCAGTGCCCATAGTTTCAAACGCCAAAGCGTTATCCACTAGACCACTTGGGCCACGAGACACCAGACATCGTCGAAGCATTTGCACGAGAAGCCGACATGTCAACCTGAGACCGAACACTTCGGTCCAATCAATCGACGGGAAAATCAAAAATTCAATTCAATAATTAATATGACCAGTTGCACAAGAGGTGGCTCTCGTGGCCCAAGTGGTCTAGTGGATAACGCCTTGGCGTTTGAAACTATGGGTACTGGGTTCGAGCCTCGGTGGGGACATCATCACTCACTGAGAAATGCAGGTACATCCAGATGACGAGTCCCAAATAGGACGAAATGCGCATCCTGGATTCCACTGCTAGCCACCATCCACCAATTTTATACAAATTCATGTTGTGCTTAAGATTTCATTCCTAAACTGTTATTACAGAGATTTTAATCAGTTACGAGTTGTAGGCCTTAGCGATTAAATGTTTTCGTGAGATTTATCTGTAAAATTATATTAATATATGTGTAAAACTTTGGCACTGTGGTGGTAAGTAATTCCATGTTAATTTGTTTATTACATTTATCACAAAGTGAGTAAAACAGTATTATTTATTAGATGACGTTTCGAACTTAATCTAGTATTGTTCATAATCATATCAATTATAATCATACGACTTCGAAACGTGAGTTTTATACTTTTCTTTGTTCTCTCTTATTCGTCATCGTAGGGGTAGTAGAATTTTCTAGATATCCGACTGGATAGTTGTTCAATCATACCTATTACGCGTATTTACAGCTGATTCGATAAATAGAGGAAGGAACCTGAAAAACCTTGAGCAGAATTCTTAACATGTCAGAAATAAAAGTGGCTGGCATTCAAACTGCCCACAAACTCAATTAGAAACAAGCTTTGTCGGCTAGAGGATGAATCCTTTGGAGCTTTTATAACAACAAAATTTACTTTATCTAATACTACCCTGCTGGAAT